AGTCACCATGGTCATGCCCTTCATTTTATGTTCAAAAGAACGCAGAGTTAGAAAGAGGTGCCCCCGATTAGTTATTAACTATAAACCTTTGAAAGAAGTTTTGGAATGGATTCGATATCCAATCCCCCAACAAAAGAGATTTACTAAAGAGACTTTCTCAAGCAGTTATATTTTCAAAATTTGATATGAAATCAGGTTTTTGGCAAATTCAAATCCATGAATCTGATAAATACAAAACAGCTTTTGTAACTCCTTTCGAACATTATGAATGGAATGTAATGCCTTTCGACGTTAAGAATGCCCCAAGTGAATTTCAAAATATTATGAATGAAATTTTTAATCAATATAGTCATTTTTCGATTGTTTATATTGATGATGTGCTTATTTATTCAAAATCAACAGACGAACATTGGAAACATTTGCACATGTTTGCAATAATAATTAAGTCCAATGGATTAGTTGTATTTGCATCCAAGATTAAACTGTTTCAGACTAACATTAGGTTTTGAGGATATAATATCCATAAATCTACAATTCAGCCTATTGATAGAGTCATTCAATTTGCTGATAAATTTCCATATCAGATTATTGATAAAACTCAATTACAACGTTTTTTAGGTTCTTTGAACTATGTATCTGAATTTTATCCTCATCTTCGTCAGTAGTGTAAATCATTGTTTGATCGTCCCAAAGATAATCCTCCAACATGATCTACCATTCATACTTCCGTTGTTAAACATATTAAAACTCATGTTAAGACTTTGTCTTGTCTTGGCATTCCAACTCCCAACTCTTTTAAGGTAGTTGAAACCGATGCATCTGATATCGGTTATAGAGGTATCCTCAAGCAGCAAACTTCTTCCATGTCTCTTGAACAAATTGTTTCTTTCCATTCAGGATTACGAAATTGTGCACAAAGTAATTATAATACTATTAAGAAAGCGATATTATCTATTGTATTATTCATTAGCAAATTCCAAGACGATTTATTAAATCAAAAATTTCTAGTCCGTGTTGATTGCAAATCTGAAAAACATGTTTGACAAAAAGATGTTCAAAATATTGCATCCAAACAGATTTTTGCACGGTGGCAAGCCATACTAAGCATTTTTTTATTTTGATGTTGAATACATTAAAGGCAGCCACAATTGCATTCCTGATTTCTTAACAAGAGAATTTCTGCAGGGGAAAAATAGCAGGAAACAGCAGTAGCCAGAGAAGGCTTCTAGCCACTCTTCCACCTCTACCACCAGTAAAACACGAATTTATTCCCAATTCCTCATCGGCCTTAACCATCACCAACAAATTCACTCCATTAGGATCCATTATAGGGAATTTCCGACCAAATTACCAAACGGCTTTAACCAGTTCATATGATCCATATTCATCCATGCCAACCCCATCATCATCCAAACCACCTAGCTCTGCTAAAACATCCCTATATGTCAAGAAAAACCTAATGGAATACCTATTTTGCATCCCCCATCACATTGACAAAAAACAACCCCCAGAAAAAATAGCCAAAACTATTTTCCCTCCAAATTCCCATCATCTCCCAGCTGAACATTTCAAAACCTTTAAATATTATCAGGCCATTCTCTCTGAGACTGAAAGTATTGCTATTAAGCCCATTTACAATACCACCCATGAACGCAAAATACTCTACCATTCTCTTCATATTGGTAGATTTCTTACCGAACAAGATTGGGGAATCCCCCTCCATCAAACCAAAAAAATCCATACCCAACATGCTCTCATCCTAAACAACCATTATAATTATTTTGATTACATTCAAGCCTGGACTAATATATTTCTTCATCAAACAGCTAATTTCAGCCATTCATGGTTTGTAACCTTTGACAGAAATTTCAGGCTAGTCTTTCAAGCATGGTTTTCCAATTGGTGGTCAGTCCATGGCCCAACAGCCAGCCTACTACCTGAAGAACTCATGCAGGTTTTATCATCTGGTTTCCAGCAAAGATTTGACAAAAGTCGGTTCGATGGCAATTACCCTTCTATCATTGTTCATGGCCAAATACAAGGTCCTCTGGATCTTCAGATGGAACTACGAAGCCAAAACAGGCCAAATCTACAGGTCCCAGTTGGTCAAATGGTGGGACAAATTCGACTATAAAAAAATTATCAGTTTAGTCTCATCGGAATTCCCCATTGTTCCTGTCCCAATGGTGCCTCCACTAGCTCAGAAGGCATTGCCAGAAATCCCAGAAAACATCCAATCCTTATCAGACATTAGTCCTTCATCCTCCCTTAAGGGCAAAACTAAGTCATCCAAATCATCCAAGTCTACAAGTTCGAAGAAAATAGAGAAATCCTCGCAACTTCAAGATTTGGCAGATAAGCTTATGGTAGAAGCAGCTTTGCTACTCAAAGAAGAAGAAGAAGCAAACTCAGACTCATCAGACACTTCGTCTCAACCCATCAAGTGGTCCGATTATCAAGATTCTCAGGATCCATTTGAATTTTGAATTTTTCAAAATATAATAATTTGTAATCATTTCAAGGGTTTTACCCATATAAATTGCACAGTCTCAGCCATGTGATCAACAGTAGCAGCAATCATTCCGACAAGGAACTATTCATCAGCAGTAGCAGCAGACAAGTCACTATTCATGAAAATCACTTTTTACTATTCATTCATCATTTCGAAGATAGACGCGTGAATACACAGTGAAAGTTTTCATCATTCGCCAGCTTTAATAGCTAGCAGCACATGCAAGCGGGAATCCCGGCTCAATTATCTCAACCTCAATCATTCCTCTCAACAGTATAAAAGAATAGCTCATTTTCCGAGCAAAGGGACTTTAGTCGCCAAAAGCTAGAACTTCTCTTGAAATATAAGTGATTTAGCTCCATCCCAACACCAAATATCAAACATTTGTATTATAATTTTCAATCAAGGATGCCTGTGAGCACCATCTGTTTTCTAATCAATCGTCAGTAGATGAAATTGTAAGTTGGTTTCCAATTTGAAATAAAATTTATTTTCAAATTATATCCTTGCATCATTAATTTAAATTCATTATTTTCATTATGAAAAATATTTTCATCACCACTGATTTTAATTGGCATTTATGTTTATCTCCCAATCAATTTATTGAGTATCTCAAATTCAAGGTAAATACCGATTAATCATTTGTCCAATTCTTCTTATTTGTTTATCATAACTTGTATCATGACATATTGAGCCCAGAAGTTTATGAACCTCATCTTCTTCTTTTTCCATCTAACATCTCTGATGATAATTGTGATGGTGATTGTCTATTTCATAATCATATACAGCTTCTCCCCGATTTGGTATATATATATATATTAGACTTTTGGCCTACACGTGCAGACTAGGTGTACAGCCTAGTATGGTGGATCATATGTGTGAGGTTAGACTTTCGGCCTAGACGTGCAGACTAGCTGTACAGCCTAGTATGGTGGATCATACGTGTGAGGAGGAAATAATATTATGGGTCATATGTGTAAAGGATAGAGGTTTATAATATTTTTATATCCTAAGAAAAGCAGAACATCTAGTTTGAACGAGAACGAAGAAGGAAACAAACTAGGTGTGCAGACAAAATGGGATAGAGATCTGTAAAATAAATACGTATAAGTGTCAGTCAACTTTTGTCGGTCCTTGTTCATAAATCCTCGTTTGTAAATTATACGAAAGTGTCATTGCCAATCCTCATTCGAAAATCCTCATTCGTAAATCATATGAAGGTGTCAATTCTCGTTTGTAATCATACGAAGGTGTTAGTTCTCGCTCCTAAATCATGTATCAGCCCTCATTCATAAATCCTCGTTCGTACATCATACAAAGGTGTTAGTTCTCGTTCATAAATCATGTGTCAAACCTCGTTCGTAAATCCTCGTTCGCAAATCATACAAGGTGTTAGTCCGCTTTCGTGGGAAGGTGAAGTCCTCATTCATAAATTATGCGAAGATGTTAGTTGATTTTCGTAAAAGTATGCAAAGGAGTCTGTTGGCTTTCACAAGTTACGCGATAGTCGACTTTCATATATTATGGTTTAGGTGTCAATAAATTGTGCATCAGTCCATGTTCGTAAATTTTGCAGAGATGTCTATTGACACTCGTAAATTATGCGAAGATAAGACAGGGCGAAGAAAGCTAGTAGAGCATCCGTAAGTTAGGCGAACAAAACAAGGGCTTTGGTGGATTTACCTTCAGTAAATTTATCCTTAGAAAAAGAAACTTTCACAAATTTGGCCTTAGCAAGAAGTGCTTAAAGTTTCAGCTTGGCTTAAAGAGTATAGTTTCCAGGCCTCATGCGATCGAAAAACTCAGTTTTTCCCTATTTTACATGCATAAAAAAAAAGCAAAAGGGGGGCATTGTGGGAGGATAAAATCCGGTTTCGATTCATGGGCCAATATCAATCACCCAAAGGTGGTGTTGTGCAAGATAAATTGTGAGGAAAGCACATAAGGAATATATAGATACACGTGTCTAGATAACTGCCTCCACTACGGAGGACCATTGAGGAAGTGGGAAAGGAAGTAACTGCCTACACTACGGAGGACCATTGAGGAAGTGGGAAAGGAAGACATGACGTGGTACTTGTTCCCAAAGCATGTAGTCATATTACGATCGACCACTAAGGAAGTGCGAGAGGAAGAGAGGTCGTGGTACTTGTTCTCTAAGCATGCAATCCTATAAATATGGAGAAGGGCCAAAGAACAAGGTACACCATCAGAACCTGAGAAAAACCAGAGAATAGAAAATCGATCAACTGACTTGAGCGTCGGAGTATCTCTTGCAGGTACACCACCCAGACAAGCTACGGGGAAGGAATTCGGGGACGCCTCTAACGAAGGATTCAGCGAACGCGAGGATTGCGGTCAACAAATCTGAGAATGTATTTCTTCCCATAAGAAATTTTGCTCCAACAAAGTTCCTCTCGTCTTTTATCATCCATAGCAAGAAATTTTTAATGAGGAATATGCAGGTACTTGAACAATTTGGGAAAACTGGAGAAAACTACTCTAAACTTACTAGAAAAGACCTGCTTGAATTTACAATGGAAGTGGTTTGGCTAAAAATAGAGCCTTAACCTTGACAACAAGAAATATCAGCTACACAAGAATGCTAATTTTACAGCCTTATCAATAAATTTGAACTTGAAAATTCCTGCCAGTTCTCCAAACAAACAATGGGGAAAATCGGACCTAACAGAGGAAAAAGAAGGCCGATGGAAAATTGTGCGCTTACGAGATGATAACGCCATGTCCTAGTATAGACCTTTTTTTGGTTTTTCCTTCCAAGAGTTTTGGCTGGTACCTGTACATGAAATCATTTTGATTTTTCATGACTGTGGGTGACTGAAGGAATGCAATTGATTTCTTCACTTTTGCACCGAAATGCTCGGCTGATGTATCATTACTTCTGCCTTCCAAATTTCAAATGTACCTGACAAAAGGAATGCATGAATGGTAAAGCAAATGTTGGAAAACACATTAAGCAGCTGAAAAAGGGAGGGAAACTTGAACAGAGCAAAAGCACATTTTAGTCCTTGGATAACATACGTACCGTGTAATTTTCCATTTGAAGTTAGGGAACAGACTGATTTCTGAAAGCTGCGCCAATTTTTCGCAGTTCTCGCAGCTCCTGAGCTATCTCTTGAACAAACTGTAGCCCTTCCTGTCCATTTTGAAGAGAGTAAAGCATGTGCTCAAGAAAATCATGATCAGTCTCGAGCGCCTCCAACCTGTCATTAAGGTCTGACATTTCGTTTTCCAGAACATTCAATTCAGAATCTTTTTTGTCTTCACAGTCTAAACTATCGCAATGAATTAGTCCCTCTTGTGGAGCAGCGCTTCCGTTAGATATATGTAAATCGTTTGGCGTCTGCACAACTTCCTCTTCAATCTGACCATTTAATAAAAGCCTAAATTTTTTAGGCGTCTGTACTTGATTTGGTTCATCATCTGTATGCTTTCTAGAATGCCCACCATTAGGCATGTTGGTGGAAGCCCCGTTACAGGAAATTTCGGAAAGCTTCCTCTCCAAGCTCTTCAAACAATTTGAAATGTACAATTTTTCATCTTCAAACTCCAAAAGTGTTGTCTCAGAAAAAAGGCGTTCATTGCTAGCTTTAGGTACCTCGGTAACTGTTGAGTTACCAGTAGCTTCGACATCACTTTTTACTCTGGGAACAACAGCTTCAGGTACCAAAGTACTCTCCACTGTGTCAATCTTACCCTTCAAATCATAACTTTTTACCGGCATTGGCATACTGTCCATTGTCGATTCATCTGCGATATTGAACTTAGAAAATTCTAGCTCTGCTTCCAAGTCCTGTATTTCTTTCTCCTTTTCAACCAGGAGATTGTTGGCTTTTTCGAGTGCATCTACATCAAACTCGGCCTGCTCTTCCATCATTCTTAAATACTGAAGGGCCTCCATATGGACTGCAGCTTTCTCTTCCTGTAGCTTTGTGATCATGGCCATTGCCTGATTTGCAGCAATTTCAGCGGCATTCCTTTCTTCGTCTAATTCCCTGAACAACTCCTTTATGCACTTTCTATAATAATCAACCTGTCGTTTTAACCGATCAACAATACTTTCACCTTCAATTTCACTGACATATCCTTCATCCAGAGATTCAAGACCAGATTCTACTGACCATGATGTTTTAAGCCCCGGATTTGGATTAGAATTGGAAGCATCAGTTACCTGTTTTTCATCACCACCACCACATACCCCTGAAATTGTATTATTTGATGATGAATTACTCTTCCGAGCAGAAGACTTTGAAGCATCAGGTACTGGCTTTTTGCCACCAACACCACGTGCCGCTGAAATTGTGCCATTCAATGATAAATTACTCTCCTGAGCAGAAGATTTGGAAGCAACACTAATCGGCTTTTCATCACCAACACCATGTACCCCTGAAATTGTACTATTGGATGATAAATTACTCTTCTGAGCAGACGATTTGGAAGCCTCAGTTACCGGATTTTCATCACCAACACCAAGTACCCTTGAAACAGTATTATTTGATGATAAATTTCTCCCCCGAGCTGAAGAATTTTGTGAGTCCGCTGGTTTCACTTCCCCATCAACTCTAACAGGTACCTTCACTGTAGGTTGTTCTTTAATAGAATTGGATGTATCTCCTTTCTCACCAATGCCTGCTGACTCAGACACAGCATTTACATTAATATGATTTGGCTTCGTAAGAGGTTGGTCATTGATGATAAGATCAGTTTTAGTAGGTGCTCCATCTGTTGCACTTAAAAACTTCAAAAGTTCATCATCCTTACTGATGGGTGCATCTCCAAAGTCGCTTGTCCCAGTAAAACCTGTTCAATAATTTCAAAAAAGATCAATGTAATAAGTAAAAAGTCATACAACTCATATTAACTGGAATCTGAAAAGCGGAAAGTTGAGCTTACTAGTTTCAACAACATTAAATGGAGGGATATCATCCAGTGAAATAAGCTCAGGGAATGCATAAGGGATGGAATTCTGACTCGCTTGCTGCCAGTTAAGCTCACCCAAGCCATTCTTTGAAGCAACATTCGAGCCTAAGAATTTTATATCAGACCTCGTGCTACCATCTGGCTGCACACTTGGATCAGAAAGTATAGGCTTGTGGTCGGTGGTAACGTTGCTCTGCTTTGCCGGATTCAAACCATTTAGCGGTGCTTTGAATGGTTTTTCTGAAGTATATTGAACTACTAAAGCTTCCTTCTTATGCTCCCGATTTCCAATGATTATGCTGCTACCACCGTCTTCATCAGAAAATGGAATCTCAGAATCGGTATCAGAACTAATTTTCAACTCAGTGTATCCTACATGAGACAAGGGATCCCAGCCAAGTTTTCCAGCCCGACGAGCGGATTCAGTATCAGAATTAATCCTCAACTCAGAGTATCCTACATGTGGCAAGGGATCCCAGCCAAATTTTCCAGGACGAAGAGTGGAGTCAGTATCAGAACTAATCCTCAACTTGCGTCCTCTATGTGGCAAGGGATCCCAGCCAAGTTTTCCAGGACGACGAGTAGTTACTGATCCAGAAATTTTATCCCTGGTCTTCTTTGAACCATCCCTGCGAGGTATACGACTACGGCTTGAAAAGCGTGGCAAAGGAATATTAGGTTTGGAAGCAGATGATTTTCGTTGTAGTCCTCGAGCATTTTCTCTAGGTCTATAAGGCCTACTGCAACAAGAGCATGGCCTTACACCCACAGAACTATGAACAAACTTTCTGTTCTGCATGGACCTCCTAAAACCGGAACTTCCAATATCAGAATCCGACTTGCCAGCCGAAAACATGTGCTTTTCGGGGTTTGACTTGCCCTTTTTGGCATATGACACGATGCAATCTTCACACATTCCATTGCCATCGTGCTTACCATGAATTTGACAAGACAACCATGACGAGAACTCAGATATGTGGTTGCTGCAAAGTAGATCCTGATAAAGTTGAGGTTTTGGTTTTTCACTGCCTATAACATGTTCAAACCTGGAGCAAAAGATGCAAGGCTTTTGCAAATTGCAATATTCTGCAAATTTAGTCAGCAGATAGGATAACAGTCCGTCGACAAGCAGAAGAAAGATCAAAACCCATTCACATGCTGCAGATGTTAATATGTTTACAAACCCCTCTAAGTTCTTCTGCACATGTACAGATGAATTTCCCCTTGCTGCCATCTGCCTACCAATTGCTCTACAATCTCATGACCTTCCAGTTACAAAAACTCGAGGAGATCACCGGTCGATCAAGGTAATAGCTGCTCCTATCCACCCAAATCAGAACTAAGCATCCCATCTTCAATCACCACACCAAGCAAAGAAACAAATGAAGCAATTAGGAAAATTCAAATAAAAATAATTGAATCACAGAACTGCAGTTAAGCTAGAAACTATACCAGATGAAATTAAAAACATTAAATAAACTCAATGCATACAGATGTGAGTTAGGCAGTGTGTCCGCACTATCGCACCCGAGTTCAAATCCCCCTCCCCGAAAATCAGAGTAGTTCAGAATACCGCATTGTACGAAAATAAATAAACAAATAAACCATACCTAATTGTGCATCACCAACCATGACAGAAGCTAGCTACTAACAAGAAGTACCAGAAGACAATCAAACATTAAACTCTAACCATCCCAACTGTTCTTAATAATGACAAATCAACAACCAACGATATACCTTAAATAAAACGAAACGAAACTCACCTAACCTAATTCATGTGAGAAACCCAGATAGAGTTCAAGAACACCAATTCTGTGTGAATCAAAAACAAAGCAACAAACTTTTCTGCAAATTCTAATGCTTCAAGCATATGGATTACCCAGCATATTAATTTTCTATAAAATTAAGGAATTTCAAACAAAACAAACAACAAAAAAAGGATCACGAAAAGGGCATCATCCAATCCATCACAACGTGCATTGCGATTTCAGAAAACAAATTAATCCCAGATTAGTGTTAATCTAAACAGAAATAAATTTTACATCTTTTATGCATTTCTCGGGTTTAATTAACACATGAAAAATGAAATGGGAAAAAAAAGAAAGATAAACAAAAAAAGCAAAGGGAAACAGAAATAGAGAATGTCGGTGGTACCTGGAAAATGGAGCTTGATGGAGGATCAAAAGGTGACAGGGGAAGAAATGCAACTATGGAATAAAAAACATTTTGGAAAAAATGGAAGAGGAAAATGAAAAGTTTGGGGGAATTACGAGCAGGTCCTCCGTTGCGTGGGAAAGTCATAGACCGTTGAAACCAACCGATTGAAGATTTGTTTGGATGCCAATAAAAGCGAAGCTCCAAGCTTTAGCTGGCTCATGAATTAACACGTAATAAAACCATAGAACGTGTCAATTTGAAAAATGCTTCCAATAGGTTGTTTTTCTTTTTCTTTATTTTTTATTTTTTATTTTTTATTTTTTACATAAACGATATTGGGAGTTGCAGTTAATAATTTGGCATCGAATTTGTTAGTTTAAAACTTCTCACTAACGAGTAAAGAAGTACCAAACTATAATGTTAAGTCTAATGTTTACAAAAAGTTTAAAGTATGAACGCGACAATAATATAAACGATTTAACTAGAACAAGATGCATTATCACCCCAAATTATCGCCAAACGACAAAGCTGAGAGTATAAGGAGGGGACTTGAACCCTGACAAGGCTATGCTCTACCATTAAGTTAGAGCATCCCCAATGAGAGGCTCTATATGATAACAGATGTAACCCAACAATTCATAGCTAGGAAGATCAATGCTTAAGAACACAGAAAAGCACGAATTCGAAGAAGAAGAACTAAGAGAGAGAAAGAAGTTTGTAAGGTAGAGAGAGAACGCACTGATTGTATTGAAATGAATGATGAAATGTGTTTACAAAGCTTTTATATGCTAGCTATTTCTTAATGACTAAGCAACCCTCATTATACACTAACAAATTCTAACTAATTACAACCAACTAAAACCATTTCCAACTATATAAGCTGACATGGCAACACCCATTGTAGTACTGCTGAGGTTGAATAAGTGAGACTGTAGTTGATAGTACCTTGCATATATCTTAGGATTATTTTGACCATATCAGAGTGCACATCAGTAGGATTGTTCATATATTGACAAGCAGCATTAACAACATATGCCAAATTAGGTCTTGTAAATGTGAGGTATTGCAAAACTCCCACCAAACTCCTACATAATGTAGGATCAGATAAAGGTATCCCTTCTGAATCAAGAAACTGAGTATGAGGTCTACACGATGTATTCACACACTTGCAACTGTCCATACTTGCCTTGTGCAGCAAGTCTTTAGCATATTTAGACTGACTATGAAAAATATCCCCATTTGCTTTGTATTTAACCTCCAGTCCCAAGAAATATGACAGTTTGCCCATATCCTTGAGATCAAACACATCCCTTAACTCTTGAATAATTGTTTGAACCTTCTCAGGACTAGAACCAGTTAGGATTATATCATCAACATAAAGTAATAATGAAATAACATCAACTCGATCATATTTCACAAATAGACCGGTATCAGATTGAGAAACTATGAACCCCATTGTAGGTAAATAGCCAGTGAACTTAGCATTCCATGCTCAAGGTGCATGTTTTAAACCATAGAGAGACTTTATCAATTTGTAGACATGATTTGGATGCTGAGAATCAATAAACCCTTGTGGTTGTTTCATGTAAACCTCTTCTTCTAAGTCACTATGCAAGAATGCATTTTTAATATCAAGATGTCTCAATTCCCATTTGTGTTGTGCTGCAAGTGAAATGATTAGTCTCACAGTGGTATGCCTAACCATAGCACTGAAGGTCTCAAAATAATCCAAACCATGCTCTTGAGAATACCCCTGAGCAACCAATCGTGCCTTGTATCTTGAAATTGAGCCATCTGGGTTCTTCTTTAGTTTGTAGACCCACTTACTTTCAATAACTGCTCTGTGACTATGTAGAGGTACTAAAATCCAAGTACCTTGACTTCTAAATGCATCATACTCCTTTTGCATTGCATTCTGCCAGTTTTTATTTGTTGCAGCACTTCAAAATGATGTTGGCTCAACAATATCATGAATCTTAGCCATTAAAGAAAAGGCATTTTAACAAGTATCCGTATCATTCAATCTCAAAGTAGACAATTCTGGCCAAAATGCAATATAACTAGAGTAATCTTTTCTAACCTGGTTTGCATCCTATGAGTATTAGTACCACAATGTGAGTTATTACCAATTTCAGAGGTATCAAAAGGAAATCACCTCCAATTGTGCAGGGTGAAGGATAGGTAACATAGAGGCTATATTTGGAGATGGGATAGTTGTTTCAAATTGTTGAGATAATGTAGTACAATCAAATTCTGTAACATTGGAGTGATAGACTCAGAATTCGAAAACTGCACTTCATTAATAGAGGACAAATTCACAGTATCTGGCATTGAAAAGCAGTTCTAGGATGTATTGGGAGAACAAATGTTGCTGATTAGTGGTTATTTGTAACTTCATGAGTGTATGATATACCCTGAGACTTCTGCAATTTCTCTAAGAACTGATCTTTTGAAATTCCAGAACTTGATTTGCAAGGAAACAAATCTTCATTGTATATGACATGTCTAGAAATGATAAATTTTCTAGTCTGAGGATGATAATAGATAACACCTTTATATCCATTTGCATATCCAAGAAAAATACATAACACAAGTCTTGGTTGTAACTTGTTGTCATTATAAGGTCTAACATATGGATATACTACACTACCAAACACCTCCAATCCTTGCAATGGAAGAACAACACCAAATAGCATCTGATAAGAGGATTGCAAATTCATAGTCTTACATGGTTAATTTAAAAAAATAGTCTTACATGGCATTCTGTTAATTAAAAAAATACAAAATGAACACATATATGAAACCACAAATCTTGAGATAAACCAGCAGCAATCATGAGTGTTATAGCTGTCCCCACAATATGCCTATGTTTCCTCTTAGCAATTCCATTTTGCTAAGGGGTATGAGGATAAGCAACTTTATAAATTATGTCTTTGTGTTCTAGAAAATTCTGAAATCTTTTACTCATGTATTCTTCTCCTTCATCTGTTTGAATGCAAATAATACCAACATTAAATTGAGTACACACAAAACTGTAGAACTTGAGGAAAATATCAAACACTTTTGATTTAGTAACCAATAGGAATATCCAAACATATCTAGAGGATTCGTCCACAAAGCTGACATAATATCTGAATCCTTCAATGAATTTAGTAGGTGAAGGACCCCAAAGGTCAAAATGAATCTTTTGAAAAAGAAATAAACATTTGTCTTTCTTATCTAGAAAAGGTAATCTAGTCATTTTTCTTGAAATACAATATGAACACATATGTTGTGCATCATCAACAATACTAACTATCTGAGATTGCTTTAACACTGTAGACAAGACTTCATTGCTTGGATGTCCACATCTCTAATGCCAAATCACATGCTTCACTTCCTGACCAATGAACCCAGTTGACTTGATCTTTGACTTCACTGCAGCACTTGTAATCAGTTTGGTAGGAATCTTAAACAACTCTCCATCATTGCTCATTCCTTGGGGGATCACAGCCTTAGTTACCCTGTCATGCACAAAGAAATTATGCTCATCACATATGAACCAATAAAAGTTATCTTTACATAGCTATTTAACAGATAACAAACTGACTGCAATAATAGGAACATGTAACACATTTCTCAAAATTAAAGAATGAGGTAATGTGTGTAATTTTGCAGATCCAATGTGATGAATTGGCAAACCTTCCCCATTGCCAATTGTAATTTGATCAGTACCCTCATAAGTAGTAACTTGCTGAAGAGCATTCACATTTGCAGTCATGTGATGTGATGCACTCGTATCAACAATCCAAGAGTCAATTGGCAAGAAAGTTGGCTGAGCTTGAGCTTGCATTGCAGTTAAAGATGCAGATAGTATATTGCCATGATAAGCAAAATTGTTCCTACGATAATAGTCTAATGCACTATGATCATTTTTCCCATATATCTAGCATTCAATTACTAGACCACTTGTTTGACCTTGTTTCAGTATTACCAGACCAAGAATTCCAATATCCATTATTCTTCCTGTTACTAGAAGATTGACCTCTGCCATTACTTGTGTTATTTCCACTTTGCGAAGGTCTGAAACCACCATTTCCATTGCTGTTGTTGGACCTGAAAGGCATTGGACCATTATTTTGATTTGAGAACTGCCTTTGAGCACCAATATTTCCCACAAATCCATATGCATTTGGAAACTCAAAATATCCTGAGAATGAAGGTGGTGAAACATTAAATTGAGTTCCAGAAACTGAGGATACATCAGTGGCATATTAGAAGGAAATGGCATAGAAAGTGATGGAAATGGCATAGAAAGTGATGGAAATGACAGAACCATTTGAAGCAGTGCCAAGTGATGAACCAGAAGATTGTATTCCAAAGGATGAAGATCCATTTAGCATCTGAGTTAAAATACCACCAATTGCACAACGAACTCCCCCCTCCCCCAAGAATTGCTAGTAGATCCCTGAGATGAAATGATCCTTGCATATATAATCCAGGGAGATTATGAGACAAACTATTCATGACAGATTCAACTTCTCTTTCAACACATAACAACTGTTCACGAAACTCTCTCAATATGATAGGTGTATCTCTAGTAAGAATCACAATTTTGATAGTAGAATACTTTCTAGGTAAACCAGATAAGGTAACCAAGATAAAGTCATTATCGGAAACAACTTCACCAGTAATGAGTAGTTGGTCTTTGATATTCTTTAGCTTTAACAAGAATTGATCTATTGAATCTCCTCCTTTTTGCAGAGTTTGAAATTCAGTTTTCAGAGTATTTACTCTAGCTTTAGACACTGATGCATACCAATCTTGTATACTAGACCAAGTTTCATGTGCAGTTCTGCAACCAAGAACATGCTCAATTGCTTCATCAAACAAAGTGGCAAGAAGTAGACTTAATAAAGTCATATCAACATATTCCCACTCCAAGAAAGTTTATGTGATTTCTATAGTGACCCCACAATCTGTATGAATGACATACTTTGTAGGACACATAACAGATCCATCAAAATGATCAAACAACTTATACCCTTTCAAGACTTGAAATGCCCACTTAGAAACATTTCTATCATATAGCTTGATTGTCAACATTCCCAAAACTCCTTTAATTTTCACACCAGGAACTGTCATTTTTCACAAATCAAAGTATTGCACATAAATGATTGCAAATAACAACCAAGAATTGCAGAAAAACCTTCAAGAATGGCTTCGTGCCTCAACAATTATAACAGATAATGGCTTCGTGCCTCCACAAATTCAACAAAATGATGGCTTCGTGCCTCAGCAAAAACAGTAAAAAAGATGGCTTCGTGCCCCAAGAAACATAGCAAAAACAAATCATGACTACGAATCAAAACAAGTCACCTGAGATCGACATAGTTGTTGATGGAAAATGCCCAGATGAAAAATACCCAAATTCAGAGCTTCAAATCTTGATTCTTGATAGATAGAACTTCAACACAAACTCATCAAAATCTCATACTCCGATACAAAATTTATGAGCCCAAAAACATTCACAGAACCACAGCGGATCGACGACTCTTGATACCATGATAACAGATGTAACCCAACAATTCATAGCAAGGAAGATCAATGCCTAAGAACACATAAAAGAAGGAATTCGAAGAAGAAGAACTAAGAGAGAAAAAAGTTTGTAAGGTAGAGAAAGAATGCACTGATTGTATTGAAATGAATGATGAAATGTGTTCACAAAGCTTTTATATGCTAGCTATTTCTTAATGACTAAGCAACCATCCTTATCTATTAACAGATTCTAACCAACAAATTCTAACTAATTACAATCAACTACAAACCATTCCCAACCATATAAGTTGACATGGCAGCAACTATTGTAGTATTGCCATGTGTCTTCATTCATCACTATATGGGGCTAGAAAAGTGGTGGATATAGCTAAATTTAGAGTTCTGAGGATTCTTTGGGGCTCTAAAAAAGAATCTCTCCCAATAAGGGGCTATATATCTTTTGGGCTCTATATGAGCATATATTTTATTTTTGTAGTAATTTGATTATGCAGTAAATTTATTTTTGTCTTAACTATTCTTCACTTGATTTTTGGAGTGTTATCTTAAATTTTAATCTATGCAATTTTTAACCTAAAAAATTCAAATTCTGACAAAGTTAGATTTCATCACTTATGCACTGTTGTAGGCTCTCTTATCTCAATCTCATAACAACCATTGGGTTTGTTTCTATGAAAACAGACAAGATAAAATTTCATTTTATAACAACCATTGGATTTGATTATCTTATCTCAATCTCATCCGTTGGTTTATTTTTTTGATTGACACATTCTCCGAAACCAAACAAGATTTGCATTTCATAACAACCATTGGATTTTATTACCTTATCACAATTTAGTTATGTTATTTGCTTATATCTTCGGTTTAGGTCTCTAAATTACCAATGTTAAATTTCATCACTGTTTAATGAATTTTTCAATCTAGAAAATTAAACACAAAGCACAACATTTTTTCTCTAATCAATCACACAAAAAATAGTCATTGTTTGTATATGTTTTCTTAATCAAACAAACGGTTGAAAATAAACCCTTAAAATCCTAAAGGATTGAAAAAAATCCTTAAGATCGTGTTTTGGAATTAAAAATAGGGCTCACCTATTTCTAAACTAAAAAAACCCAAAAAAAAAAGAAAAACCCCAACATTGAACCCTCAATTTGGTGTGGATCCCCCAACTTTTTAGGACTAGATGTAACCCAACTTTTTGCTATTTAAGGATTGAAGTTGCTAACCAATGTCTTCATTTGAGAGAAATTTTTCATTGGGAAAAAACCAAACACAAGCCCAACACCACACGTAGGCCCCAAAGCCCCATATTGGTCTAGCTGATTTGTAGTCCAAAGCCTAAAGAGTTAAACTCAGAATTGGAAGGGGCCGCGCGAACGCAGGCCCCCACTGGCACAAATTATGACGTTGGCTCTCCCACGTTGGGGAGACCATAGGCGGGCACCCCTCCTGAGTGCAATGGAGGTCACCAACCCAGGCCATGGGCCTTCTTGATCACCCATTGACCCCGTCCAGGTAAGTATGGACAACGTTCCCTCCCCCTCCCCTTTTCTACTCTTCTTTCTCTCCGCCCTCCCCTTCCCTCCGTCGATGTGGGACTCAATCATTCCATCATCCAACAACCGACTCGAACTCTAAATTCTAAAACCCCCTCAAAACACAAAACACACACTCTCAGTCTATCATTTGCTGAAGAAGCTTGGAATTGATGAAGGGACTGCTCAAGTCCTTCACTGTAAGTCTTCTGCTTTGTGGGCATTTCCAAAGTCGTCTGCTTTATTTTATTTTGAAGTTTCTTGAAGGAGCTGATTGTGCTGTGTGATTGAATGCATTGTGTGTGTATGCATAGAGGGTTGGAGTAGGTGTTAGGGGTTATAGCGCGGCGAGGAAGGACCTTCGGATTGAGGGGGTTAAGCATGCCATAGCTGTTGCTTCTGGTAAAGGCGGTGTCGGCAAGTCCACCACTGCAGGTACCATTGTTTCTTCACATTTTTCGAGTTTTTACCAATATGGTTTTCGTTTAAGTGTTAATATCTAAAAATGGTTGAACGTTGTGGAGTTTTTGAGTATTTTAGCTTTCTGGGTTATGCGAAAATTACGTAAAGAGGCATCCTTTTTGTGATTACAGTGGTCTCCAGTAGGGTAAGTTTTCGGATTGTGGTGAGCTGAAGACTACGTTCCTGATCTTCTTTGATTATTTTCAGCTGTTTTGGTTAATTTTGTCATTAAAAGTTGAAGAAGACAATGGATTTTTTACCTTATTGGGTGCTGGAGTTGTGAGGTAGTTATAAGCGATTCCAATTTTGGATGGTAGAATAGACATCAAAGTTTAGGATTTACCATCTCACTGATTTCGCATTTTGAATATTTTAGTGTTGCAAATGAAATCTAATCTAATGATGTTCAAAATGGTAACTTTCTGATTGCTTATTCAAAACAACATATGCATAATGGTGGGAATTGCAGTTAATCTGGCTGTTGCACTTGCTAACAAGTGCCAAATGAAGGTTGGCTTGCTTGATGCTGATATATACGGACCAAATGTTCCTATAATGATGAAGCTTGATAGAAAGCCAGAAGTGACTGAAGGTATATGTTAAGTTAATTTTCTGCAGATTTCACTTAAGAGATGTAGAATTTATTTGGTTAATTGTAAGATTTGTTCTAAACAGAGATGAACTGGTAACTAAACTTTCCAATCAGTTTGAGTGTTTCGATTCCTGTACGAGTCTTTGCACTTCACATTTTAAGCAATATTACCTCTTCATTTTGCTAAACAGTCCTTCGGAAGCAATACGAGAATTTAGGTTTTCAAATTTTGTGATCAAACACGATATAAGGTATTAACTTCTGTGTGTCATTTCATAGTCAAGTCCACTTGTGGACTCTGCAGAAGACAAGTAATATAAACAAGTATCCCTTTACATTCGTCACACAGACACACTAGATAATGACTTCATGATTCTGCATCTTCTTTCACATCTTGTAGCATCTCTATTGTGAAGGCAACCTAGAGTAACTCAGACATGTTCAAACACCAGACATATACTCTCCTTACTATTTACTGATTCCATAATGCTAGACTGGAGAATATTAACATTATGGTTATCTTCTACCAGATAAAAAAATGATTCCAATCGAGAGCTATGGAGTCAAGTGTATGTCAATGGGACTTCTTGTGGATAAGGATGCTCCGCTTGTTTGGAGAGGTCCCATGGTATAACTTTGATATTATAAGTTTTATTGCTTAATTGTTTATTTAATTTCATGTTCCTTGCATAGTTTGATTGTTGGCGCTAACTACTAACAGTTAGTGCTGGTATGCAGACTACATCATTACCTTTTAAGAGATTTCATTTCCAACTACTGATATAATTGTCCTCATAATCATGAAAGAATGCAAATTAGTTAACTGAAGTGAGGTTCCTATTGAAATTTAACCAAGCTGGTACTTTTCTTGTGTTTGTGTGCGTGTGGACAAGTCTTCATATATAAACATATATATCACTTATTTATTAATTGTTAAATATTTGGTTGCTATGAGATTGAAATTATTGTGCTGGGGTTTAAGAAATTTTGTTATTATTGAGAGAAAGTAACAAAGCACCCAAAAGTAATAGAAAATTTGAAAAAATTAGAAAGGCCAGGGTAAAGATAGCATCAACATCACTAATTCAAGTCGGATAGCATCAACATCGCTTGTGCTAAGAATACTGTGCTGTTTCCATTCATATTTTCTCATGATTTTTTTGTTTAATTCTTGCAGGTATCTAGCGCTCTTGAAAAAATGACTAGGGGCGCTGACTGGGGAAATCTTGATATTCTTGTGGTAGATATGCCTCCTGGCACTGGTGATGCTCATATAACTGTATCCCAAAGGCTGCAATTATCAGGTAGTTGAAGAACATAACCACAAAATGCTTTGTATTTACATTCAAATTTCCCGCATTTGGTTTGGGCAGTATCTTCTTTGATAGCTGAGGTTCGTATCTCATGCCTCAGAATCTTGTGCAATCTTCGATCTATGTTAAATGCATTTAGCAAACTCTCAAAGTACCACAATCGTTTCTCCCACCTTCAGCCTCTAAATGTCCTGTAATGTTTCAGCATGAGCATGGTTGTTCAAATTGGTCTAATCATTAAAACTGGAGGACTGATTAGCTTCATTCATGAAACTGTACAATAGGCACAACTGGTAGATTTCATATAAGAAGGAACTTATATGTAAAACATAATGCTAGTATATTTATAGATAGTAAATATCAAAATTAAAATTTTCTGGTTTCTGAAGACATGCAGATTAGTGCCCCTAGAACCCCTCCCCCAGAACATCCGAGTAATATTCCAGTTTTACCTTTCCATTAACTTGGTTTCACAACCATCATTTGGTTTTCCATAACTATTACTGGTTTGTTGGTAGGTGCATTGATTGTTTCAACGCCTCAAGATGTAGCATTAATGGATGCCCGTAGAGGAATTAACATGTTCTCTAAAGTCGAAGTTCCTGTATGATTTTATTATTCTTCAGAACCCAGATTGTCTTTGGATATGTTTGCATTGGCATTGTAAGTTTGTGGAGATCATCAGTGACATAATTGTTAAGATAATTAAATTTGAATTGCTGTTGTAGATTTTGGGAATTGTAGAGAACATGAGCTATTTTAAGTGTCCACACTGTGCCGAATGTTCCTTCATTTTCGGGGAAGGAGGATCTCGTAAGACAGCAACTGAGATGGATTTGGAATTTGTTGGCGAGGTATGATTAGTCAGTTTCATCTGTTTCATAGTTTACTGTAATATCCGTAAATTCCTTTTAGGTTGCATCAGTTTGGGTCTCGATTCTTATCTTTTATCTCCTTCCTCTCCATCTCTCTTCTCTTTCACGCAGAGTCATTTATTTTCATTAGAGTAGGAGGGTAGAAATTTTAGATCTCCATAGTATTGAGACTCCTCTTGTCACTTTCTATAATCTCTGCTGAAGGCATTATGTTTTGCTGCAAACCAGATTTCTGTTCTTGCAAAGATACCATGAATGCCAATCTGCATAACATACATACCTCATGTTAGTTTAATGGAACCTGTATTCGATATAATTTATGAGTACCGTGGTGTGTCGCGCACACGCCATTTGAAGGAGCTTTCATGACCTCTTTTGTTTTCGTTTTTTCTCCATTGGATCCTATATTTATACAAAATTCACATAATTGGATTTTCTTTTTATGTACTCCAATAAGCTGAGATGAGTTGCACCTATGTTAATTAATCTTTCTTGATCAAAGTGCTTAATGTTTCAGATACCGTTAGAAGTGGGGATCAGAAAAGGCTCCGACAATGGCGTCCCAATAGTAATATCAGCTCCTGATTCTGACGTCCCGAAAGCATATGTGGACGTGGCTCGGAAAGTTGTAGAAAGACTGTCGAAGGAAGAACAATCCCGTCCACAGATATCCCTCTGATTCTGTGTTGTCCAATTCAGCAAATGAATGGAGTCTCTGCTGTACTTTCTGCACTAATGGCAGATTCCCTTGTTCATGCCTTTGTAATCTTTCCTCAGCATTGTCATAGAGTACTATTAGTACTTCGGACGAGTACCGCGGCAGTATAAAGTCGAAACAAAAAAACAAATTATCAGAAAACTCTTTATGCTATCGGCTTATAATTTATTAGAACATATTCTGATCATCTGAAACTTGTAGTGAGCAGAGCTATTGGAAATTCAAGTTTTGATGCATTTTCCATCTCTTAACATCATTGAAGGAAGAAACATTTCAGTGTACTCGGAATTCAAGCTGGTATATTAGCGCGTGCCATAAAAGAGAAGGGATACTAAAAAGTATAACATCTCTATACTTGTATTATTACATTTGATATACGGGCTTGTATTTTGAGCTACTGTATGAAGAGCAAGGAGGGGTATCCAGTTTTTGACTAGTGTCTCCAACCCATCATTTTCATGATGATGGAATAAGTTTCATTTTCTCAGATGAATAGGAGAGTTCAATTCAAAGGAACATGTAGAAGAATATGCATCTTCCACATGGACCTCTAATAGTGGCACCTATATCTTTCTAAACCACTACTATTAGGAAAGGGATCATATCCGAATTCCTTGCACCAAATCCAATAAGTTTGAGAATCCGGACTATTGAAATTTGATCTAACGGTAAATAAGGAGCCCTTTTAAAAGTTATGATAACTGTAGCCATTAAATTAAATTTCAACGATCCGGATTCCGAACTTCAATAGATTGGTGAAAAGGATCCGGAGGATCCCTTTCCAAAATAAAGCTAGAAGAACAAGTCAAACCCACTTGACTGCATCCAAATCATTTTCAATGTTTCCGCCATTTTTCCACCATCTCTCAGTTCTTCGCTTCCCCATCCACTCATAATCTCTCTCTCTCTCTCTCTGAATGCATCACTGCACCGTAACCCTGAAACCCCCACCTCCACACCATGTATCCTCCTCTCGCTCCCACCTGATTTTTCCCCCCAGCCCTAGGCTGACCAAATCCCAATCCCACCCCATCTTCGCGCCAATTTACATTCGTGCTCATTCCGTCTCCAACCGCACCGCCAGAGGGCTCGATGTCTCCGTCTCCAAACACTCCCCAAACGCCAGCGCCCCAAATGGCTCCCTACACGATTGGAAGCCGAAGAGCGTCGGCGTTAAAGACGTAGATGTCGCCACTCTCGGCAATCTCTGCGTGGATATCGTGCTCAATGTGCCCAAATTGCCACCGCCCGATGTCCACGACCGCAAATCTTACATGGACCGGTTGTCCGCCTCGCCGCCGGATAAGGTTTGCTTCTCTCGCAGCCTCTGACTATGCCCAAAAAAATCGTTCTGTAATTTAATTTCTTGAATTCTGTGCATTTTCTTTACAATTAAAATTTGGACCCATTTGATATTTTGCTTTAGAAGTGAAGTAAAAGAGTTGAATTTGTGACAGAGACTGCTAATTTCATCTCTCTAGCGCAATTCGGAGTATTTTATTTGTTGGGATTCTTTAATTTCAGGTTGCTTTGTGATCAAGTTTTCAACTTTCGACCCATTACAATGGTTATGGCTTTTGCTTCTTAATACTTTCGTTTCGTCGTAATTTGAGTTTTTAGTTTTTCCTTTTGTTGATGTTGTTTTGCATTGTGTAGTAGTTTCTATGAAGAAAAGTGTAAGGTACTTAATCTTATATGATATGCATGTCTGCCGATAAGTTTTCCGAATTTGATTATATGGTTTGAAAGGTAGCAATACTGGGAAGCTGGTGGAAACTGCAACATGGCCATAGCAGCTGCAAGATTAGGACTTAAGTGCATCGCAATTGGGCACGTGGGTAACGAAGTATATGGACAGTTCCTTTTAGATGTCCTTCAAGATGAAGGAATTAGCATGGTTGGAGTGAGTGACAACAATACCAATGTTGACAGTTCAAGTGCAACGTATGAAACACTTTTATGCTGGGTACTCGTCGATCCATTGCAAAGACATGGTTTTTGCAGGTAAATGTTTTCCACTTTTTGCTTTTCTTTTAGTAATTCCATCTTCTTTGTAAAGAACGGCAATTTGAATCGACCTGGTTTGTTTATCAGCCGAGCTGATTTCAGTAAGGAGCCTGCATTCGGTTGGATGAGCAAATTATCTGGACAAGTAAAGACAGCTATTAAACAGTCAAAGATTCTGTTCTGCAATGGTTATGGCTTTGATGAGCTCTCTCCTGGTGTAATAGCCGCAGCTGTAGAGTATGCTGTTGACGTTGGTACAGCAATTTTCTTTGACCCTGGACCACGTGGAAAAAGCCTTTCTGCTGGTACAACAGATGAACGAGAAGCACTTAACCTGTTGTTGAGGATGAGTGACGTTCTTCTCCTAACGTCTGATGAGGTTTGATGTATTGTTAACCATGATTCATCTTTTTTCTAGTTTATTCCATCTTATAATGTGCAAAGTTTTCCTTTTGTCTTGCTGCTTGCAACCGTCTAATACATTGTGATGATATTAATGATTTCCAGGCTGAGTCATTGACGAGCATTAAAAACCCAATATTAGCAGGGCAGGAGCTGCTCAAGCAAGGGGTGCACACAAAATGGGTGATTGTCAAAATGGGTCCAAGGGGTTCAATTCTAATAACTAGGTCAAGTATTTCTTTCACACCAGCTTTTGAGGTATCATTTTCTAACTTTACATTTTCTTATGACATTGTCGTGAACTTGTAGCTTACTTGTTTTATGAAATCATACTGGTACATATTTATTAATTCTTGCTAGATTTTTTTGTTCTACATCTAACTTTGGATCAAATTCTGTACATCTTGCTTCTTGTTTGCCATCATGCACACCATTTCATGCCAAAATCATATTTGTTAAATAGTTTTAAGCACAACATTGGACAAAAAAAAAAGCTATCAAAAGTGTTATACACGCTCGAGATGTCTGTTTGCTCTGTGTGCTCGTGCTTGTGTATGTTTGTTGTAGCTTGAACCTTCCTACAAATAAGAGTATTAGGTAGATCATATCTTTTGGCCAGAAGTAATTCTGCATTATAGAAGTAGTTTCATATTCTGCTGTATCCTGTTTGAATTCAATTCCAGCTTTCTTTATTGGCTGATACACCAATGGAACCTTAGTTGTCATGCTGAAATGTAACCGGTTAATGCCGTAGATACTGTTGGTTGTGGAGATAGTTTCGTGGCTGCGATTGCATATGGTTTTATCCACAACATGCCGATGGTTAACACATTAGCAATTGCAAATGCAGTAGGTGCTGCAACCGCCACAGGTTGTGGTGCTGGTAGGAATGTGGCAACCTTGGAGAAAGTAATAGAACTTATAAGGGCATCTAATCTCAAGGAGGATGACAAATTTTGGATTGAGTTAATTGATGAAAATTTGGGTGTCGAGGAAATTACATCGCTTTCAAATTTGGTCATCAATGGAAGTGATAACCGGTTAAATTGTGTATCCTTGCAGAAGGTGGTATCCGAATTGCTTCCTAAGCTCAAATCTGCACAGTTAGAAAGAAAAGTGTCTTTTTGATAGATCATAACAACGGTAGGTTTTTAGCAATTGGAGTTATGTGATTCTCTGGGTTTAATTACACCCTTGGGGTTCTTCTTCTATGAAATTGAGTACTTTCGGGGAAAACATCAGTTTTGAGCAGGAGTCGTTAAGCTTGCATAGCTTGAAGTTCATCTTGGATTTAGTGAAATATTGAGGGTGCTTCTTCTATGAAATTGAGTACTTTCGGGGAAAACATCAGTTTTGAGCAGGAGTCGGTAAGCTTGCATAGCTTGAAGTTCATCTTGGATTTAGTGAAATATTGTAGGTGACGGTATCGATTTGGTTCTTCTAATATATGCTTTGGCAATTGGCATGATATCGCTTTGCTTTCCAGCTTTCTGCAAGCATATTTTTTACTCTCCTGCGCGAAGATGTTTCATTCTTTGCACCTTTTCAACATATTGTTCGGGAAGTAATTTAACACGCTCTTTTTCTCCTCTTGCACTTTCTTGTGTGTTTCTGGCCCGTGGATTGAATGAATCAAAAGGGAATCAGGAGACAAGATAAACACGAGTATGCAGAAGGGAAAAAAGGGTGTGGCGATTTCATTTCCCAATTGTTATTGATGAGGCATCTTATTGGTGCTTTTCAGCCTGGTATGTGGTGTAAACAAAGAAAAAGTGAATCTTACATGTTATGGTTTTTCTGAAATTGCAAAATTTTTTGGCAGTTGGAAGGCAATTCTAGAGATTGATTGTCACTTTTGCTCTTCTTTATTCATACCACTTCTTCACCATGTCTTTTCATGCATGTCCTTTTTAAACGAGAAAAATCAGACCAAATTAATTACAAAAAGTGATTTTTGCACTCCCTTGTATACTTGGTGTACTTCCCCTCTTTTGTTCTAACGATTCAGTAGAATGAAAAGACATAATTGAGGAGATGGGTGCATAACGTAAAAGATGATTGTGAAAATCACTCTTCATAAATAACTTTAGCACTCCCCTTGGTTTTTAAGTGGCAATGCTATAAGCCTACGACCACAAACACATACTATATAGGATTTAGCATGACCAATTGAACAAGACAGATGAAAGTTTGGTTAGTTGGACAAGGCACTCTGCTAGACTTTTTTAACTCGAATTAGAATTGTCGTTCATGTCTCAAATGAAATGAGTTGAACACATATTTATATTGATCAATTGACTAAACTTTCAAAAATAATATTTTTTTTATATTTAATTTGTAAATTTAATTTAAAATTTTAATCTCTCTAATTTTATTCTTCAAAAAATATTATTAATAGTGTACGTGATGATAAACATTGACTCATCGAGTATGGTAAAAATTTAAAAAAAGGGATTTGATAGGTTTTTTATGTGGAAAAAAGGTAAATTACCAAAAAAGCCGAGGAGAAGAAGAGAGAACTACACAAGTGCCCCCGACTCTCTCCTAATTTGTAACTGCCCCTATTGGTCGTAGCCCTCATCTTCCACCAAACAACGCCCATACCACTCCTCCATCACCTCTTTTACTTTTATGCCCTCCCACGGTCCCACCCCAACTCAATTATTTCTGAACCTCTCTCTCTATCTTATGTGGGTGAAGATGAAGGCCCCCACACAAAATAAAAACTAATAAAAACACTTTTTTTTCTTGATATTTTAATATTTATTTTTATATGGTATTTTTTTCTTTTGAGAGAATGTTTTTCAAAAACACTTTTAGTTTATCACTTCTCTCTATTCATGATCGTTGGATTGAATAAATCAAATGAAATAGAAGACATGATTAAACATAAAAGTGTGAAAAGCTAAAAAGGTATGTGTTTATCATCTCTCTTTCTTTTAAATAAAGTGAAGATGTTTTAGTCTGAATATTGTAATATGGCACTAAGATTTATGTGGATTTTGTGATTGAATGTTATCGCATTTTTGTAGTTGTAGGTTCACCTACAATTTGTAATAAATTTAATTAAGACATTCTTTTATAGTAGTAGCGTTTACATAAACTTTTTAATAGACTGAATTATCACATTCTATAATAGTAAAGTTTACGCGAATTTTATAATGGACCAAGTTATCACGTTTGTTTTTATGTTATTTCTTTAAAAGAAAGCGAAGATTTTATAGTAATGTTACAAAAAAAATTCTAACATTTTTTATAGTAAAAAGATTTACGTGAACTTTGTAATAGATAAAATTATCACATTGTTTAATAGCAGTAGAATTTATGCGAACTTTGTAATCAACTAAATTATCACGTTCCTTTATAGTAGTAGATTTTACGTGAATTTTCTAACAAACCAAATTATCACATTTCTTTTATAATAGTAAGTTTTACGTAAATTTTGTAATATTACATTTATTTTTCTATAATAGTAAGATTTACGTGAACTCTGTAGTAGACCAAATTATAAAGGTTTAGTGAACTCTAATGACCAAATTATCACTTACCTCTTCATATCTACTTATTCTTCTAATTAATTAATTAATTGTTAAATTCTACAAAATCCAAAACAGGAAAACCCTACATTTCTCAAAAGATAAATGAAAAGAGAAGTGGGGGCAATATCGGAATACCAAAAAGTTGGACGCGAAAGGAAAACAGGATGACATAAATACCCTCCAAATTGGCTAACCCTAGAATTTGCCGAAGTCCAGTCGCTGCCCTCGGTTTGCCCCTGCAAAATTTCTGTGCCTTCCCCTTCTCTACCCTTCTTCCCTCTCAGGTTTCTCTCTCCCCCACCCGCCAAACTCAAACACTTCTCTCTCTCTCTCTCTCTCTCTCTCTGCTCTTCCTTTTCATGGTTTTCTTAGAAACAATTATTTATATATTTTCTTTTATTTAACTGTATTAGATGCAATCTCTACTGATTTCTCGTCCATCTCTGAAGTTTGTTGATTGATATTTTTTAAATTTTGATTAATTTTGTTGTTGTGATTTTTGCAGGTTCAGTTTGTAACTTCTGCATGAGCTTCTGGGCGGACTTTGATTTTGTAAGTTCCGACGCACTTCAGCTTTGTTTCTGTAAATTATCTGTTTGGTTGCTGAGAAAATATCAGAAGCTTTAGGATTTGTGAGTTTTAAGCAGCCTAATTAGAGTATAACGTAGCATGGTAAGTTTCATACTTCAGTTTAAAGCCTTTTTTAGCTTATTCGTTAGGAATTCCTGCACCAGCGGATACTGTGTGCTGATCTCAATCTGCACTTACTGTAATTTTACTGATTCCCGAATGAGTTTACATCAAAAAATTATATTTCGTAATGAAATGGTGCTCTAGATTGGACTGTGTGTCCGTTCTTTCGGGGTCCATGGTAAAAAGAACATAAATTTGATCCAAATGGCATTCTTTGTGACACAGGTCTACTCAGAAACGCAAATTGGGCAGAAATTTTCTGTTTTAAGTTCTGTGTTTGATTGTATTGGTGGGGGTTGGTTTTTGGACCTGTAATGGCGGACCATAGTTTGGTTCTTGGGCAGAATGGTGATCTGCCATTGAGGCAGAATTCACATCCGGGACGGGGGCTGAATCACAATCTGGTTCCGGGTCAAAGTCATGGCCTTGCATTGAGGCATGCCCCTGATCAGGATTTGGAATTAGGGCATGGTAGCCATGATGATAAGCAGGGTTTTAGACATCCCCATGATCATGGATTGGCTTTTGATCACACAAATGAACATGAGATAGCCCTTCAACATAGGCGCATACAAAATCTTGAAGAAGAAGGTTTGGAGTTGGAGCAAGATATTGGGGTTGAAGCTGATCAGGAGAATGTTGATGTCGATGAAAATGATAATGACCTTGCTCTTACTGTGGCGACTCATGAGTTGGGTTTATCAGATAATCATGCATTGTCATCGGTGGAGGGCCATGATCTTCACGAAAATTTGGATTTAGCAATGGATCAAAATCAGGAGATGGGTATTGTGCCTGACTCAGACATGAGTTTGCAGCAATCCCAGCTTTTAGATACTCCTCCTGTCCTTCAGTATCGATCTCATGCTATGACAACTAATCACCAGCTGGCTGTTGGGCAAGAGTTTCCTGATGTTCATAGCTGTCGAAGGGCACTGAGAGATGCTGCTATTGCCCTTCGCTTTGAGATGCAGACTGTCAAGTCTGACAAAACTCGTTTCACTGCCAAGTGCGCAACAGAAGGATGCGCTTGGCGAATTCATGCTGCAAAGCTGCCTGGTGTCCCTACTTTCACAA